ACACTCTGCATAAGAAACGTTCTATATTCATCTCGTTTCGACCACTGTTTATAACAGAGGTGACAGAATAATTCAGTCAGAATAAGAAAAGTTTATGTGTGCTGATTTCTCTTGGCTATTATGAGGGCATGATCTCCAGCAGTATGTGTGCGTCCCTCAGGCAATGATTATAAATGAAGTCCTGGAGGCCAAATCGTTTTGACTACATTGTCAGTAGCTTGCCAATACATTGCGTATTCGTAGGCTTTGATTATTTCATATCTTCAAATCTCTGGAGTATGTACCTTCAGTTCTTATCACAATATATTATCACTTCCGCGTCTAAAAATCACCAGCTTCTAATTATTTTAAGGGCCGAGCATACTACACACGAATTCAGTCGCGACGCATTTGGCAATATTCCAACTGTCCATAACTCACTGTAAGCACATTTTAAAAGTACAGAAGATAGAGCATCTGAACAACCTATGCAAGTTATACACCCTATGCATGTGCAGTTTGCTAGTATTGGATCCGAAGACTTCTGGCGAATTGCCAAATCACGTCGCGACTGAAATCGCGTGAAGTATGCCCGGCCCTTTAAAATCTCTTCACGACTTGCCTTTGCAAGAACGAGGTCTGTGTCCCAAGTGCTAGTATTCTGCTTGAATATTGGTAGAAATCGGTAGGTTCAAGCAAAAACAGCTATCGTCCATTCCTCACAGCATAGCGGGCGAAACTTGCCGACGTTGGGCAACATATGCGCCTGGCAATTTTGATAGCTAGAGAGTACAAAAAATAACACTTTGAAATGGAGGTTCAAAAAGTTTTTCACGTGTTCAGATGTATGGAATGTCATGCCAGCTACACGCATGAGTGTTACCTATAACAGCTTCAAGCAGCTCAGCAGCACCACTCTGTTGCAATCGCTATGCACTAACGAGGGAATGGTCAGAAATCGAAGTGGCCAGTGGCCAATCCAAACAAGATGCATACTCTTACAGGGAAGGATGCTTGGATGCCGTGGCCATTCATAATGATTTGTATACCAAAAAATGCGCCTTTGAATGCTGGTTCGTAAACTGTCTTTCATATCTGCGAAACGATAACCTGAATGGAGTTATGATTTTTTTTTCATTATATAATTGCGTTACTGTAGAGGGTCAAAATCATCAATAAAATTTTTCTCTCCTTTTCAACTGCTGAATGTGATTCTGATAGTCTAAATAAACAGTACTACGTCTGAAATTTTCTTCAGTAGCATCAAACGATAGGGTAGATCATATCTGGTGATTTCTACTATCCGAAAGTAGGCTAAATTTTTGAGAAAAAAAGTTCATAACTTCCTTCAAAAAGTCGTTTCGCAGATTCCGAGCACAGATTCAGAATCAGCATTTCGAGGTGCATTTTATGGTATACATTGCATTTCAAACAGCCACGGCATCCAAGTATCCTTCCCTTGTTAGATACAGCATAGAACGAATCTGTATCCCGTATCTGTTTTTCCTTGGGCGAAGTTCTGAGCCATTGAAGGCAGTTAATTTGCTAAGAAATCGTGCATGCAAAGCGCAAATTTGGCAGTACAGAGCCATATTCGGATCAATGCTGGGCCAAAACATGCAGCTAGGTTACTTCATATTTTTAAAGCCTAAGGGTGAGCTGAAAGTGCAGCAATATGATCAATTTCGCAACTTTTATGCACGATTTTTTTGCACTAAAACTGCTCATGACTTAGGCAAAAAACGCTAAGCAGGCATGGAATTTAGATCTGAAATCAGCGTTATATGCTGCATCGAAAGGTAGGCAGCTTCTTGGGTTGGCCACTTTGACTTCTGACCATTCCCTTATAAGTGCGTTGATGCTACCGTTACGTATAACCACCAGGCGCCAGTATGTTTCAAGCCATTGCGTTGAGTTCGTGATGTCTTCCGCGAAATGGGAAGAAAGATTGAAAGTAGATGTGCATTCCGAATACGTCCAGAAGCACTTGTCTGGGTTTTCCCAAAATAGCGCTAAAAGGGTGGTGTTTTTGAGGAATTCACGCTTTAAGAGTGCGGTATTTGAAATCAGTGCCATGAAAAGATAACATAAAAATATGGAAGTCGAGAATCTGCCTAGACGCTGCCTTCAATTGCTGCTACCCTTGCTCTGCGTCTTTGGCCTGCGGATGGCTAACGTGTTCGCAGCATGCAATATTATGTTGTCACCAATCCTGATAGCCAGAATGGTTTGCCAAAATGTTAGCCATACGTGAAGTAGGTCAGAGAGGCAGAGCAGGGGTGCAGAATTGTGGAAGAGACGATATTGTAAGCTGAAAAACATGATTGTGAGCAATTGACGGAGAATTCGCATTCCCAGGTTTCCGTGGACTAATCTGTCTGAGGGTTCCAAGCATGATGCGAGAAAACGATCGCTTTGCGTGCCACCTACAGTAGTGGTAATGGGTGAATGGCGTTTGATGTGATTTTTCTAAAAAGTGGCAAACTGCAATAAATCAAAGAATGATTTCGAAATTACCAAAAGCGGTCCAGTGTATTCGCCGGGTTCGGAATCGTACACTCAATCTCAAACACGTACTCCCTTCTGCGCGGAAATTACGTAACGCAAGGCCCTGCGAGCGAATCTCCAATTGATGAAGCCACTTTGAATGCCCGAGCTAGCCATCGAGCGCGAACTTGGCGCGAAGCTCACTGCGCCTACGGAAAAGGGAGCACGTGATTGAGGACTGTACAGGGCTCCTAAATTGCAGAGTCGTTTGCACCAGCGGTCGCGCGACCGCGTCGTGCCCGGGCATCAATGGCGCCGCCTCGATCGATGGCGCCGGCGCCGGCAAAATGCACGGGCGCGACGCGCTCGCGCGACCGCTGGTGCGAACGACTCTGCAATTTAGGAACCCTGTATGTGCATAAAAATTTGGCTCATTAGATCGCCAAAAAACTCAATAGACCCGCAGGCTTACAAAACCTCCTTCTCCATATAGGATGTTCCAAAATGTGCACATTGTCTGATGATTGTTAGTTTTCTTGGGTCAATGTCAAAAATCATGACTTATAGTAACGGGCTAAGGGTTGTTTACGTCTTTTTGTACGTGTGTGTGTGTGTGTGTGTGTCTGTCTGTCCGTTACGAAATTCGTAGAGCGAGTTCCAGCCAATCTATTGAGCCCAAATTTGGCACAGCACATGCTACCTTCATGAAAGTCCAACATGCAAAAGCACGAGCAGATTCGTTTAGTGGATCCCTCAGAAATTGCGCGCCAAACGGGTCCACCTGGCTTCTGTACCGCAAAATTCTGTCCGTATCACCACTTTTTGCAGAGTCGTGGATGAGTTTGGTAAGCAAATGTGCAAGCGATGGAGCTTAGCCCGAAAAATGGTCGAAAGTTTACTACATAACGAAAACGGCGCCAAAAAGAATTGGTTGCGTAAATGGTCAATTTGCCAAGGTTTTAGCTAAGCGTTTGAGAAGATTTTCGCACAGAGATGTAGCTCACGGCTACTATTACCTCTATGGCGCTTACCAAGCCATGACAAATCCAAAAACCTATTCAAATTTGCGTTTGTCTTCCTGCGAAAAGTTTCATCCACGCGAAATCACCAATCTCACGTGAGAAAACTTTCTAAATGAGTGGTTGTTTACATTTTATTCGTGGTAGTCGGCATAGCGCGGTGAGTTCCAGTGCCACGATTTTATGAGAATGAGTAAGGCACATAGATAGTAGAGCCAGTGCGAGCCTCTGCGAAGCAGAGGTGACGCACTGGTTACTTATAATAACGGGCTAAGGATGTTTACGTGACTTTGTGTGTGTGTGTGTGTGTGTGTGTGTGTGTGTGTGTGTGTGTGTGTGTGTGTGTGTGTGTGTGTGTGTGTGTGTGTGTGTGTCTGTTACGAAATTCGTAGAGCGTGTTCCAGCCAACCTCCTGGGCTGAAATTTTGCATAACGCATGCTACCCGCATGAAACTCCAACATGCAAAAGAACGAGCAGATTCATTGAGTGGATCCCTCAGAAACTGCGTGTCAAATGGATCCACTTTGCGTTTGGGCCGCAAAATTGGGTCCGTAATTCCACTTTTTTCAGAGTCGTGGATGTTTGTGCCAAGTAAATGTGCAAGTCATGAACTTAGGCTCAAAAAAGTGATCAAAAGTCCATTACTTTACAAAAACGGCGCCAAAAAGTATTGGTTGCGTAAATGGTCAATTTGCCAAGGTTTTTACCAGACCATTTGACGAAAATTTTGCACAAAGTTGTAGCTCACGGTGACTGCTGTTCTTATTGCAACTGTAAAGGCCATGAGAAAATCAAGAACCTATAAAAATTTGCATTTGTTTTCCTGCAAAAAGTCTCATCCACGCGAAATCACCGATTTCCCATACAAAAGCTTTCGGAATGAGTAGTTGTTTACATTTTGTTCGTGATAGTCGGCATTGCTCGGTGAGTTCAAATGCCATCATTATACGAGAATGAGTAGGGCCTAGATAGCAGAGCCAGTGCGAGCCTCTGCGAAGCAGAGGTGACGCACTGGTCTATTTATATTTAAAAATGAAATCTATTTAGAATTACAAAAAAATGGCTTGAACTTGCAATTAGATTCACAAACAAAATCCAAGAGCTTACTCGTGTTATAGAAACTCGCATGACTACAGAAAGTTTAGTTATGAACTATCTATTCAAAAGGTAATTTTAGAAAATTATAAATGTAGTCAAACTTATGAACCCCTTTGATAGCATCGAACAGACAAGAATGGTATTATATACAAAGAAAACAAAAAATGTTGATATTTTTGGAACAGTGTTTGAGAGACGAATACTTCCGAAGTTCTACTATAAAAAGTCTTGCTTCCCATCCAAATCCCTAAAATATTTCATCCACTCAGACTGGGTCGTATACGGTTTCATCTATAGAAGTGAAAAGGCAACCGCTCTTTTATCAGATATCAATGAAAAGTTGAGAAGTGTTTTGAACAACAAACACGCAAAAGAATTACTCGAAAAGAGTGAAGATCATTCTTATTTCACTGACTACTAACATGAGCAAAGACATCGGGACTGCTGAAGGCGGTGGCACTGCTGAAAACGTTGGCACTCCTGAAAAGGAAGGAACTGCTGAACATGCTGGAACTGCTGAACATGCTGGGACTGCCGAAGCATCGAAAGAACCGACCACAACAACTGCAGCGCAGGTTGGTGTTCTGGACCAACTGCTCCAGAAAGTTTTATCTATGCGCTGTTTAGGGTCTCCCTCCAACAGCATGTTGTTGTTGTCCCGCTAGGGTATGTTCCATAACGCTTTTCTGATATGAATGAAGTTACAGTCCCCGTAAAATCCAATTGCCCACGCGTCGCTTTGAACACCTACACGCGACGCGGCTGGAAACGCTTGGTCCTGAAGCGCTACAGGCTTTTTGCGAGCGACAATGAGCGCGCACCCTTTCCACACATATTTTTAAGCTTTTGAAGGGAGCTTTCGTCAAGATATACCTTGCATTGACGAGAACAACATGAAAGTCAAAGAAAGATTTCTTGGAATATGGTGAACGCCGACAGTCGTTCGCGACGACCGCTCGCTTGCGCTGGTGTCAGGGCCCGGCACAGATGGTTTGGGGTCAACTTCGTTTTTGAAGTTTGAAGCAACGGGGATATCGTTTTTATGAATTGCTAGTTGATGCGCCGATAAAAAAAGACGAACATGTCAGGTTATATGAGTTGAACGTGTTCTTTCGCAAGCGCGCGAATTTCAAACGCAAGACTCAAACAAACAAATGGCTTGTTTACAGCGCACAAACATTCACATGGCTCCGAATCTGGGCTATGTGTATACAATATTACTCCAAACTATGTTATGTAAAAAATTCCCGAAACTTATGTGTCCTAATATCCGTTCCCGAATTTGTTGGTTTCTAGACCAACACCAAACCAACTGGGTTGGTTCGGAGCATATATATCGGAGAGTTCACATACAGTAAGTTTCGGCCCGCTTTAGGCGGAAATTGGATTGGCGGGAGTCCGCCTCGCAACAGCTCGCGCCGTTTCGCAGCTACAGTATATCCTATCGTGCTGAGAACCCATGTCTGCGTCTCCTCAACCTCCTTAGTCTTTGTTTGGCAAAATGCCAGCGCTGTGCACTCGCGAAGCCTCCAGCGATGCGCATGCGCTGCTCCACGTAGAATGTATCGCCTAATCCGGGTTGAAACCGACTGTAAGTTTTGGCTCTTTCTGATTTGGACGATTAGAACGGTCAAAAATCTATCGTATTGTGAAGAGAGCGAATCAAGCTATTGCCTCTCCTCTTTTTTTTGAGCCAAAAATAGTATAAATCTATGCGTTGATAGATATTACGCTCCAAACACACGCGGTGTCTTTGAACTATGTGGCGAAAAATGCATCGCCAGATTGCTGAGGCTACAGATTTGGTTGGCCGAGGAGTTTTTAACATTCTAAGCACTAAAATGGTACCCCACCCAATCACAGAGCCTTTAATCAACTCGAAATGTTTTCTTTTTGCTTTTTTTGTTATATTAGGTACCTCAAAATGCGCTTTTTTCGCTTTTTCATTGTTATTTTGATTGAATAAGGGTTCTCCTACCAATTTTTACGTCAAAAAAGACTTCGTAAGTTTTCGCGAAGTCATGGGGGACTTCGTTTCCAAAAATGCTTCAAACCAGCGCGTGCCGGGCCCTGGCTGGTGTTCAAGGCACGGCGCGGGCAATTTGGTTTTACGGCGCCTATACATAGCTTAAGCTCAATCAACAACAGTAAACAAGTCAACAAGCTAAACTGATAGAGAAAAGGAAGCAGTTGTTGCTTAGAAGGAATGCGAATGCGACATCCTTGCTTAATGTAATCAGACCACTAAACCTGCGCTGGTTGTCTGGATCGACTGCGTGAAATCTTTGTAGCATTGCAGGTCCTGTCCTCGGGCGTATATGTCGCGCGGCTGCAACAATGGCCTGCACTATAAGCGCTGCTGCATGGCGAAGGTACAGAATTTGTATTGATTAAGCGGGCGCGAACGCAGCGCGCGCGTATCTGCAGCATTGTAAATCATGCGCTTTATGATGGCTGCGGATGGCTTAAGCAGGCGCCATGCACACCGGCGTACGGCCCACAGCGCTGTGGGCTACGGTGATTTACCTATAGTACGAAAAGTACAGTTGTACAGGTCTCTGCGTGATCGCAAGGTCGGTGAGTTTGCGGCTATTGTACACGCAGGATGTAACAATACAAACCATACCTTCATAGTTATTTAAAATCGCGTCTAATGGCAGAATAGCATTTGATAGGAGAAGGAAAACAGAGAAAGGTGAATGCACTCGCAAAGGCACTGGCAAGCTCACTGGCATCACCATTACGCAAAACCCTATAGTTTCGATTTGTCATAAAAGATTGAGAAACTCACATTAAAGCAAAAAAAATTCTGAATCGTTTTTTGACTGACAAGGTAAGGATACTTGGTCGGTGGGATTTCTATACGTGTACAATTAGTCATAGAGCATGATACACTGATTCCGAATCTGCTTTCCTTATCTGCAAAGCGCTTCTGGGAGGGGCTGGGAATTTATAGTGGTAGTTCAATGATTTAGTTAAGGTAAAAACAAGTGCTGAGATCTTTCCAGCGCTTCAAAGGAGTAATGACTGACATGAGTATAAGACTGAAGCGTTATTGCACAGAAAGGCCCTGGTGGTGATCGTGGCCCCATTTGAGCTCATAAACTGCAGTTCTGAATGATTTTATTGAAGCCGCGTTCAAATTTTTGCTTCAAAATGCCCCATAACTTTCCTCTTATTACGCTTTGCAGATAAGAAAATCAGACTCGGAATCAGCTTTTCATGCTCTATGAGACAGTATACAATTTAGCTTGAAAATATTTGACCAAGTATCCCTCCCTTGTGTGACACATTGGTCCGCACGGCCATTACGGTCGCACTGGCATGGGGCTGTCGCCATTACACCTGTAGGTTAAAGCATCCCATCATTTTTTGCTCAGTTCTTCGCCTTCAAAGTAGGGAAACAAACTTCAACAGACATCTAAAGCCAAAATAATTGAACAGATCGAGGACTTCGGTACAGCTCATAATCTAGGGTGCGCTCAAGCTGCTTTTTTGATAGTTACCGCATAAAATCGTAATCACCAAAACTGTTGGGAAAGGACGAGTGCCAGTTTACGCCTCTTCGCAAACTACTACTCTCACATATCATCGCATAGCGTATCATGGTGAACGAATGCCTTTACTAGAGCGTCTAGCAAAACATATCTTCTTTCATCTTTTTTTTTCTGCTTGGTTTCTGCACTCCGTTTTGCAGTTTTTGATAGCTAGAGGTCACGAAATGCAATTTTGTAACGTGAAGTGAGAGCCCAATTACTTTATCGAAGAAGTCCGCAATTTGCCTTTATACATTTAGCCGATCATGAATTGTTGTTCGTGCTGCAAATGAAATAGATGACTCCTTGACAAGAAAGCGAAAAGTGGAAAAGTTCAAATCAAGCGTGTTTTCTGTCCATCTTGATACAAGATCCATTTGCTCAAGCTTTCGGGGCTTATAGTGGCTAATGCCATCATCGGCTACACAGATCTGCAGTCAATCTTTCGTTAGGTCGATTATCTCAACCGTTCCGACAGCTTTTCCGCTGCGAGCCGGTAGCCGTTTCGAAGAACCATTATCATCTACTTTGCGTTTCTATCGGTGTTGCTGAGCTACATAGGCATATCTACAGACCGTGTCAATCATGTGCCCAATTTTGGGTAAGCGCAATTAGCTTCGCGCCACATTCGTGCGCGTATGGCTTGGCATTCAAATTGGCCTCATCGATTGGAGGTCCGCACGCAGGGTCCTTGCGTTGCGCATGCGTTGTTCCCGAGCGAAAGGGAGTACGCAATTGGCACTGACTATACATGCAAGTACATCGCAAAAAAATCAGCTTTTGAATAGTTGTTAATCCACAAACTTACATTCAAAATACGGACTACAGACGAAAATCATAATAAATATGTTTTATGGTTGGGAATTTTTAAACTCCGTTATGATGTTATTTATATGCTAGAAAATAAAAAACAATTGGAAAATTATTTAGCGGGAAAACGTAAAGCTGTAAACATTACAAAGCTCGGCTGCAATCTCATCGAGTCGAGCTACATGCCTGAGGCTGATTCTATACAGACTGATAGCAATCTGCTAAATAATGTGTTACACCATAGCGTATGCAGAAAAATTAGTGTTATTTAAGCAAACTAAGTGGAGGCACATACTTAATTCCGACTTTTTTAGTGCTGTTTGATGTTTTTTTGCTTCATACTCGCTATCTGGAATATCGCTGTCATTTTACATGCAATTATTATCATTGGCGATGACTTTAGCTGGAAGCTAGCCTCATCAATTGTATGGGTGAGTTTGGATCGTTCGATCATCAAAAAAGAGAAGGTTTTTCGTACAAAGAGACCATGAAATTGATAATGAGAATAGTGTGCGTATTACGATGTAGGATTTTGGTGATAACGCTCCTCTTGCCTCCAGGGACCGGCAGGTGAGGCAATTGATCACATGCAAAACAATTCTCCCTTTGCCGCTCTCAAATTCTACGAAATTGAACGCGCCAGTTGCGTGGATCCCCCAGTTTTATATTGCACTTTCTTCATTGAAAGTAGTGTCTGGGCAAAGTTGCGGGTTTTGAAATTCCAACTATGTAAAAGTGAATCCCCGCGGATGTGCCATCACACAAGTGCGCGGCCATCACCTTCGTCCAAAAGTAAGGAATACGGGTGAGCAATTGGAAAACTTACGCCCCAGGAGAAAGCTTCTGCGTCTGTGCGTCAGAGTGCGCATGCCAGCACAATTGAATTCGCAGGATCGCAAACCACTCTGCTCTCAGCTTTGGCGGGGGACTGTTCCACTCGTCCAAATTTGAGTGTATGGGCTTCAAGAAACGCTTGTTCTTCGACAATTTCGCGCTTTCTAACGTGGATTTTCAAACTCAGAAAGTGGATAAAACCAAGGAGTGCAATCCACTGAAATGCGTTTTTTCTCCGGACACTGATTTTGAAGGCACCGTTCACCCGAATTCTCAACATTTTGTCGTTCCGGGGCCTTCTCATGTATTTGATATTTCGAATATCAAGTCGAAAATCCGCGAAACCCCGACAACCCCCGTTGCGCAGAACCCCGCAAGACGAGTTGTCCCGAACGATGATTGGTTGCGCACGGATGGGCTGGACGAACGCGATGTCCACTCAAAGAGGAGGACCCAACATGGCGAATCCGTCATTGAAGCGATTTTTGAAGCAATTTCTTCTTTTCGGAAGCAACTTTGGCAGCTCTTTGGCAAGTATATAGCTGGGGTCCCGCTACTGTTATACATCGAAATCTCATCGACCTCATTTTGGGTGGACGATGCCTACAAAAGGGCTGGAGTCCTAAAATGAAGAGTTTAGAGACAAAAATGTGCAGGGTGCGCCATAAGCGGCGCCTGAATTTTGCAACGTTCCAAGGAGGAACCACCGAGGAACATAAGTTAAGTTTACGTCGTTTCTAATCAAAGTCTACCGGAGACATTTTTCAGAAAATTAAAAAGACCATTATTTGAGAACTTGGGAAAGGATAAGACTAACGGTTCCCGAAGAAAAATAGAATTTCCATACATTTGAATCTTACTCTGCAACCAGCTGAACTCAAATCCTTTCTGATCCATTCCAAACTGAGGCTGCAGCATATACTTTGCTCGATTGCATATTCCAAGTTGCATTTGCAAGAATTTGTTCTTTTACAAAATATTAGAATGTATTAGGTTGTCTCATAAGTTTTTTTTTCAATTTTCGCTTCCTACCGCAATAAATCACTACTTCTCAGTTCTGATTAGAAGGCAGGGCATCGTTCGATAGAGCAAAGCAAGCTCTATGAGACGGCGTTATGTGCTCACACCAGCTTCAGCACATCACAAACTAAAAGCTAAAATCTGAGAACTGCGATGCCCGAAAAATTAAAATTTACAAACCGAAAAAACTGAATTTTTCAGGCTTTTAAAAAAGCAATGCTGCGCTGTTCTCACATAGGTAGGTGTATACTACAGGCACAAGCCTTCTAAACAACGCCAAAACACCTAGAACTTTATTTGGGACCTCCTGGAAGCGCTAGTTCCCGAGAAATATTTAGCTCATTTTGCTATTGTATATTATGTTGAATTCAATTTCTCGGGAACTAGCATTCCCAAGAAGCTGAAAATTTACCGATGTATTTCTGAAGGCCTGGGTTATACACCTACCTATGTGAGAACAGTGCAGCATCGTTTTCTTGGAAGCTTAAAATTTAAGTTTCTCCGCTTCTAGCGAAACAAACACAGCAACGGCATATATGAAGTGCTATGTGGAGCGTATATGCATGAGCGAGTTTAGGATCTGATCAGTCTTCTCTGAACAAAAATATTAAAAAATTTCATTTTTCCTGGCATCCGGAATTCTCAGATTTTGGCTTCTAATTTGTTATGTGCTGAAGCTGGTGCGAACTCATACATGCCATCTTAAGTGCTTGCTTTGCTCTATCAAACGGCACCCTGCCTTCTAATCAGAATTGAGAAGTATGTGACTTACTGCAATAGAAAGCGAAAATTGAAAAAAACTCATGAGACAACCTACTCAGGGATTCGCGCCGTGCGAGCGGTCCTCCTATAAGGGCAAACGTATACAAGCGGTCGACATAAGCCTAAAGCTTCCGTGCGTGCGACAAACAGCTGAGGTCCTAGCGGCAGGCAATGTTACCGTGCAAATGCCTGCAATACGATTGCTCGAGCGAGCGGTTAGCATTGCGCCCGTCTTATCGGTCGGCAATATCTGTTGCCGTGCAAGCGGCCAACAGTGACCTCCATCTTCGGCTCATTATTTTCACACATTGTGAGCGTAAACGGTACCTGCGTGAGATACGACGCCGTTTAGGCGGGCTAAGCGTCTTCAAACATTTTCCTTCACCGCAAAGCTGGAATGAACCTGCGTGAGGCTACAATTATCAAAAGTGATGGTGTGGGCTTCACTATGAAAAGTTTGGCTAATGCTGCAGGCATCGATCCGTGTTCCCAGAATGTGAATAAGATTAACATATCCAGGAAAAATGGTCAAAATACCCCATATAAATTTACTCCAGCAGCAAGCGAGCGGCCGACCTTCCCCCGCGCAAGCGGCAAGCATTAGAAACCGTGCGGGCGCACCACGTTAACCGTGCTAACGGCCCTTGACGACCGTACAATCGCACACACCAACGAGCGATTGTAAGTTCGTCGCTAGCCGCCCGCACGGTGCGAGTGCCTGAGAAAGATTTGTGAAAAATTTTGCAATGACCAACGACCTTATGTTTGAATTAACTTTGAGATCACAGACACGATAAATTTCCAGGTAAACAACAACTACTTATAAGACATGTTGGAGACTATTTATTATGACCAGTTTCATAAAATGTTCCAAAATTGATTTAGAAGACTTTCTCCACTCTACAGGCGCACCCAGAAGGACCAAAATGCTACTGTTTTTCAATATGCTGCCTCGCATGCATTTTTTCTTAGAAATTTTTAGTAAAATCACTTTTTGATTAGCATCTAAACTTTCCAAAACAGCGTTAGATACAAAGGCTTGCTCTATTTCATTACGCAGTTCTAAAGCAAGATATAAGGTAATTCTATAGAGTTGCACCTGCGTGCAGAGTACACTGCAGCTGACTAGAGAACTTGAGATTTTTTCGAGAGATTAAGCAGCCAAATTCTCAATTGTCGCATTACAATGTTAGCGGTGGTGAAAACAAATGCATGCTTGATTTGTCGTCAAAGCAGAGTCGGGCAAAACGTCGATTTTGAGATTTTGTGTTTACCGGGACCTATTCGTTGTGCTGAATCCGAAAATCCACACCAGAGTGAGCAAAAACGACGGAAAAGGGCTCTAACGCGGGATGGAAATCAGCAGGTGGGCGGGGTCTTCCCCACTGTGAATTACGCTCCTTGTTTCCGTAGCGATCTTTTCGATTTTGTTAGCCGCCCTGACATCTCTACCGGCCAATCGCGAACGTTTGACTTGAAACCGGAATCGAGGATTGCTGCGAAAGCTGGGGCGTGAACAGCGGGGAAAACTCCACCCTGTCAGATTTTCTTCTGTTTAGAGACTTTTTCGCCTCCGCGCTCTCTAAAACATTCACGACAATACGACCCACCGGTGGTCGTAAGATTCCCAAAGCTCTAACTTTGCCATTATACGATGGAATTCTACGGGGTTTTGGCACATGATTGGGGACACCTTGGTGAAGCTCCAGCCAGAGTGGTCCGGGTTCGGGATACTGTAAAGTAATGTTACGGTAGGTATACCGTCGATAGAGGTAAGGCACAGACTTTAGCTCAAATTTTTCGCAGAGTGGTGTTGTTTTTGAAATACAGTTTACATGCACGAGAAATACAGGGAGGGCACGAAACTGATGTCAGCCTAGCAAAAGTTATCGATTTTATTGATTTTTCTTATTGTTCATCCCAGGAAGCTCAAACCTTACATATATAGTGATGGTCTCAAGTTCTAAAACCGCTGTGGGTCGTAAGTTTGACAAAGCGAAAAAGTCTCTGGTCCGAAACGGCAGTAATCGAAAAATCGGCCTTATCGTGAATGTGTTGAAGTGGATTTATAGCAGTATAGCAAATAGGCCCGGATGAGTACAAAATCTCAAAATCGACTTTTTTGGCCGGACACTGCCTTTAAGCCTGTATCGTATCCTTTTTGGCACTCACACAAACGCACCATTTATTTTGGTGCCCTTCGTAGAAACTTGTTTGCGAACAGATTTATGTAAAAGTTATGAAAGACCGTACTTTCCGCTCCAAACCAAAATAGCGGTGTTCACTGAACCTTTGAGGAAGAGAAAGGATTCCAGTTGTGCCGTGTTTGGAAAATAAAGAACTTCCAAAAAATTTGTGTGGCTCTGAATCCAAATTATGAAAGAAGTATGTAATTTGGACGTTTTAACATTTTCAAAGTGGCATTATGGTGGCAATCGACAACCTGAATTGGAAAAAGTAGCCGGGCGGTTCTGCATAAGTTTTTCATGTATATTCATACGTTTTTGCTTCTACTATGCATGGACACACCAAATCCGGAGCCGTATCTTAAAGTGCGTTGCAAACGAGTCGTTTTTCCCATCTTCACTAATGGAAATTTTCCAGGAAAAAAGGTTTCCACAACCTTCAATTACCATACTTTTGCACAGTTTTCTGCACTATGCTACTCCTACCCTTATCCGGTTATGTAAAAAATTTGGCGTCATATCGATGTGCGCTTGCTATAAACGATCCATTTTTACTTGGTGCAAAAACTAACGTGGACATCCAGGAAATGGCGCTCTGAGCAAGTTTGCGTGTGTATACGTCCATCATGTGACAAGCTGCTAAAGAGATGCGTATTTGCGTTTGAACGTGAATTTATGATACTCTCTTGCTTTTCTACCTAGAACGATTTCTAACTTGACATTTGCCACCCTCATGCGGGCCCTAGCCTTCACAGTTTGGAAATGAACGTTCGCGTTTGATACACCCTTATTTAGCTAAAATTCAGAACAGCATGTCCCCTTTGCTACAGTCGTCCTAATTTCTGTAGTCACCTGGTAGATTATTTTCAATTTGAATTTTACCAAGCCGATTACGGTAGAGCACGACAGACAGTGAAGTTCTTCAAGCATCCACTTGTTAAATTCTAACTCAGATACTTTTCGAATCAAAAATGACATGCGATGAGCCTCCTTCTCAAGGAACTGGAAAAATTGTAGCTATCTTCTCTCATAACTTACTCTAATATACTTGTAATAATATCAGATTGTATAATAAGTCCTCTCGCATTTTTTGATCTAGCTTTTTTTGATATTGCGCGTGGCTATCAAATCGTAAATGTACTTTTGAATTCTATTTTGCTCCACCAAGTTTTGCGTCGATTTCGTAGATCTGAGAATTGGGGAAAGAGATTTCAAAAATGGAAACCAAAAAAGTAAGAAGTCCATTTTCGACCACTATAACATGTCAGAAATACTTTTGAAACAACTAGAAAACCTGCAACGTGTAAGAAAAGAATGTTTGACGTTGAGAGCGTCTGAAGTTTCCACTTTGAGGTGGTTTAGGGATTTAGGGCCAGAAAGAGTAAATCAAAACATATTGAATATCTTTCTTTCTTTCGTTCCTCTGGCACAAATAACTAAGTAAAATCTGATCTTTACTCAAAAAGACCTATGAACTTTCGACTGACTTCCCGAGCATATAGTCTTCACAAAATATTCATATGGAGAATTTATATTGACATTTGCTGCGTTTTTTTTTTCACGGTTGAAAATAGAAAAAATGAAAAGGGCAAAGAAAACGAAATTACTCGATAAATGTGGAATCTATAGTTGTACTCTCAAGGGTGTGCAGTACAGAATTATTGTAAGAGTAGCCCACCACTGCCTTTGCTAGAGGATGCCAACTTCCCAATTCCCAGCTTCCAACAGTGAAAGAAGTGCTACAACTCTACCTACGATTGTCTGATGTGGACAGCATATACGTGACTAATGTATCAGGTTGATGCAAAAATAAGGCCGTTTTGGGAATTCTCACTTTGATTTGCTATAACTTTTTGGAGAATGACATTTTGAATGCGATAAAAAAACATCAGAAACGATAAACTTTTTGCAATACAGCGCACATCCATATACATCACTTCACAAAGTCAGGAAAATACGGATTAAAAGCCAAAAAGCTCTTTAACCTTGTTTTTGACAAATCAAGCTTTAGTTCTCGAGAAATACCGAATCTAGCTTTCCCTAGTTAGGTGGTCCAAGCTGAAATTCAAATTTCTCCAGAACTAAAGCTTGTAGAGAGCTGAAAATTTGAGTCTGTACCTCTACGGACTTGTGGTGTACAACTACCCATGTGGGAACGGCACAGCACCACTTTGGCAAATGCACAAAAATTTCCGTTTTCTCGATTTCTAACAGAGAAAAAAATGCAGCAAAGGCGTATATAGATGTTTTATGTGGGTAGTGTTTACGTGAGCAAGTAAGAATTTTTGTAGGATTCTTATGAACTGAGTTACGATTTTTTCCGATTTTTTGGGCTGCTGAGTCTTTTTAGTTTTCGGCTCGAAACTCGAGGGGGGTGAGAACTGTTGCAAAAGCAAGAAGGCCGTCTTGTAGAGCTTGCTTTGCTCTATCGAATGGAACTTTGCAACTATTTAGAAATGAGAAGTGTATGACTTATTGCGGTTAAAATTCAAAACGGGCATTAATTTCCGGGCAACCTAATATAAATATGATACCTATCTTGTAAACGCAAGCTAGAGGACAAAAGAAGAGGGGAAGGCTTGAACAAGAAGGTTTTGCGAGAAGAAAAAAAAGCTAAAGGTGTCCGTTTTTCCAACATTTTTCTGGTAGGCCTCAAAGTCCTGAAATTATGAAATCTATTCTCTGCACTGAACAGCTAATGTTTTTGCAAGAACTGTCAACAGGATCTGGACCTTACGCTTATAGAAATGAGCAAAGCTTTGGCGAGTCCTTGTTCAAAAGAAGTTTATGGTCATAGAATGACCGATGGCTATCCTTGTTAAAGCGCCGATATCTCACTCCAGATAATTTTGAACAAATTGTTGATATAACAGATGAGGATGGAAGGCCGCCTCAAAAGCCCCGTCCACCCAAAGTGGACGATGAGATTTTGGCTTAACAGTGGCCGGACCCCCAACTGTATACTTGCCCATCTCGAGCTACCAAAGCTTGCTTCCGAAGCGAGGAAATTGCTTCGAAAATCGCCTTGGATGACGGATTTGCCACGTTGGCTCCTCCCCTTTGAGTAGGCGTGACGTTCGTCGCGCTCACCCATGCGCACCTAATCATCGTTCCGGACAACTCGTCTTGCGGGTTCTGCGGAACGGTAATTGTCGGGATTTTCGCTTATTTTTGACTCGATATTCGGAATTAGGGACATGAGAAGGCCCACCAACGACAAAAACGTATAAGTCGAGAAATCAGGGGGACGGTGCCTTCGACCATATTTGGTAAAGTATGAAAAAGCTTTCCAATGGTATGCTCATTTGTTTCAAAAACAAATTTTAATGAAAAAAGTCGTCTTGAAATAAGGCTTGAGAAAATGGCCATTTTCTTCATCAACCTAATAAGTTGTAGGTTTGCAATATAGACAAAGATCTAATTTTTAGGCCCCGGGCAGACTTCACGCGATTTGATCGTCGCGACTGAATCGCGAGGAGACAACTGTTACAACATCATTCCATGCCGATCAACTTGCATTCGGTTGTGATATTTTTCCAGCCCGAAATTTTTGAATGTGAAATGAAAATGAATGGAAATCTTGGCGATTAGATCGCGACGATTAAATCGCGTGAAGTTTGTCCGGGGCCTAAGCATTCACTTCTTTAACTTTACGCGAATCTGACTTTTTGCAGTTTTTCGCATACCATTCTGCAAAACTCTACTTTTCACAATGTCCTCAAATCTGCTGGTATCTCAAATACATATGATTAATTAGCATGTAAGATGCTATTGTGTGTTGGCAAACAGGATGTACTCTTAAGGATAGCGGCACGTTCAAAACGGTGTTGGAAGAAAATGGATTGCTTTCACACCGCATAAAATTCAAAATCAGAACTTAGCTACAAAGTCTTGCTAGTGATACATTGAAATTACAATTAGCCAGCGTTAATCCAGTCTATCACATGTAAAGTTCATAACCACTTTACGTCTAAGAAGGCAAGACTAAACCAAATCCCCGCCGAACCCTTTTCGCTCTAAAGGCGAACACGCCAAAAGACTGACTGTCATCATGGAGCGCGTTAAGTGAGAGCAGTATGTGATAAGGCGACCGCTCCGCGAGACATATGCGCGGCGGCACGCCTGGGTGCTCGCGTTTAGAGCAAAAAGGGCGCGGCTTATACACCTGAAAATAGGATAATTCAAATATGCCTACAAGCTTAGCCATGGCTGGACCAAGTAAAACATTCAAAAAAAGACCAATTAACCAAGCAACCTATTGAAGTGCCAAAATTTTTTGCAAGTTGCTCGGAATGCATTCTTACCTCTCCCAGTCTCACGACAACTTGAGTGATTGTGCCAATTAAAAAGCTTTGAGTGCTTACTTTGAAAAAGAACGGTTATTGTCGGACTCCAAGTTAAGTCAAGATTTTTTCGCCGTCATAAATTCAGGCTGTTGCTGGAATTCTGGGTGTGCTCGGAACTCTTTGTAAGAGACCTTGTCCTCTAAGAAGTATGGCAACTATTTTCGTAAGTTTTCATAGTTCGTTTTGATTGCACTATGATGGAAACTAGAGCGAGTGTGTGATTTGAGCTTTACGTACATTCATATAGTCTCAAAGCAACTTCGACTATGTTCGAGGTGTACGGTGCGACTCCTTCAATGTTGCTACCCATGCGATTGTCACACTCTCAACCACGCCTTATCTTACGATTCCCGTCCAACATATTAAAAATCTCTTCACCCTCTCCACTTGGCTTTTTGCCCTTATTTCTGAGTGGGACTATGGCCCAACCTAGATTAAAGGGTAAAAATCTAAAAACAAAAATTACGCAAAGGAAGCTTTTAGCATTCTCTCACCCTGCACTATATACTTTGGACCCGATCGCTGGCTGGCGCTACGCTTCCTTTTTCCTGATTTTGGGGGTATGGGGCCGCAAAAAATTTGAGAAGCACCTCAAAAAATTTTTCGGAGTATGTGGCGAACGCCACGAACCTTCAAAAATTTTTTCGCGCTCCCCCCCCCCCACCCTTCCGAACAGATGTCCTGGGACCGGCATTGGTGCCAGGCCCTCCCAACTTTCCATTGAAATTCTCCTCCGAGCTGCCTTTATGCCACTGGCATAAATTATTCAAAAAAGTATCCGAATGAATGATATTATTCGAGAACCGAGTAATATTTAAAATTCGAATAACAAATGATGTTTGATATTCGAATATTATTCGATTCGAAATTTTCCATTTCTGATTGATATCCGATAGTCAAGTATTCGAGAATTTCTATTTTCGAATAGTATTCAATAGTCGAATAGTCGAAAAAAATTCCAAATTTTTCTGAGTATACTGTACTACATTCTGCCCTATCCCTCTACCTTGTTCCCCCCCCCTCTCCCCCCCCCCCCCGCTCTTCTTTCATCTTCTGCAAACCATCGAACAAAACAATAACAACAACAAAAAAACACAAATGTAAGTGAACATCTGCACACCGAGCGCTAAATGACAAAGAAAAGCGCGTCGGTTTGCTTAGGAGACTTATGGATATCCTACCACCCTCTTAAATGGCAGATACCATATCCATGCGAACTACGCCTCAGGTGCGAACCACGCCCAACACAGTCTACTAGATGTGCTTATCTCAACAAACATTAACAACTCGCAAATTTAACACGCCGGCAACACAAAATAACAGAAACACAGCAAGAAAGAGAGATTGGAACTCAAAGACGTGGTGGCTCGCTGGTCGTAAGTTCCTTCAGTGGTCCGCCAGACTCCTCCTCTGGTTGCCATCTGTAAACAAAGAGTATGGGAATGAAGAAAGCGTACGGTATTACACAAGTGATAGTGGGGAAAAGCAAAAAGGAAAGGAAATGAATAAGTGTAGGTTTACATACCAGATATATACAGATTTATACTTTACAGGAGCGCGCTTTGCGAACCAAAGCAGATTGCATCGCTAATGATAAAACAGCCCACAGAAAAGATTATGGAACCGCTTCACCCTTATGCAATAACGTTTACAACGAGAAAGTACTCTTAAAAAAGTCATGAATTATTCAAGCGAAGGTCGGGTTCAGCTTAGCCGGCACTCTGCTAGAATCCAGCTAATCCCGGAAAAATAGCGCTGCTTGCATGTGTTCATTTTTGAGCCATGGTTCGAGGCCCTTCACCCGCATGTACAATACCACTCTCAGAATGTGCAAAATTTTTGGGAATTCCGCGGAGTTCCGGGAATTCTGCGAAATTCCAGGAATTTCGCGAAATCAACGCGAATCACGCAAATTATGCAGCGCCTTAACTCACTTCGGTAATATATTCTGAATCCAAAAGCAGCATTGTGTTCAGCTCGTCAAGGTGAATCTTTCCGTGTACAGCATGTTCTCGATATTCCGTTTCCAGTTTTCTCAAATTCTTCTGCGGAGGTCCTTTCTCATAGATGTAACGCAGCGCTTATTCAACATAAAAGATTCCAGTAGGTACCTTTTGATAGAACTGTTCTTGTAGGTTATCGTGCGCTGTAGTACCTGCAGACTTCTTTCCAAAAAAGATAAAAGCGTTGCAGAATTCTAGAAAAATCATGCGTTCCTAAATTCTACTCGCCACAACTTCCTTTGGATTTGCTCTATTCCGAATCAGAAAAAAAGCATTGTACTCAGCTCATCAAGGCGAGTCTTTCGATATACAGCACGTCCTTGATATTCCAATCTCAGTATTCTTGAATTTTTCTATGGATCTTTCTTCGCAAAGGTGTAAAGCAGCGCGTTGCCCCTTATAGACTATGCAAAGACCTTTCGATAGTACTTCTTCTGTAGATTATGCAGCGCAAAAAGTAGCCGCAGGTTTTTCCTTCAAAGGAAGTAGAAGGACTGGTGAATTCTGGAAAATCTTAAACACTCACCAAAACCCTAAAATATGAAGGTATTTGGCTAAGCAGTTGTGGTATTCGTAATCAACAGGTCGGATAACCTCTATGAGCAAGTTTCCACAGAACTTCGAGTTACTTGATTTTTCCTCGTCTTACGCTGTGAAGCTCGCCGATGTTTTGGTCGAAATGTTGATGATCTTGGATTGTAAGAAACTCCGCTTGTACAGTGCTGGCCAAAAGTTTGCACCCACTCTAGAATTTTGCTATATCTTACTCTGTTTCGCCCAAAACGAATCCGAATTTCGATATTATGTGCAAATCACACTGCTTAACACTACTTTAGAAAACTTTGCAGTTTCATGCACAGAGAAATGGCCTCTGGAAAGAATGGCGAAAACTCCAAAATCTAGGTTGGTCAAAAATTGCAGCCACTTTCTGCTAAAGGTCTTTGGAAAACTTGTCACCTTCCAGTAGCTGGGCTACAGATGCACCCCTAAGCCTATGCAGTGCAACCAGCATTCATCAAACTTAAAAAGGAGACTTTATGGAGCAAATTTGCTTGAACGCCAAATGGCCGCAAAAATTGTAGAAATCATTAGTTTGCCGAGAAATGATCGATTGATCCGTGCTTTCATGGAAAGATTGTACCATTTGGACGTTCAGTGGCGGTCTGCAGATGTGACAGAAAAAGCATCACATGGCATGCTTTAAAATCTACCACCACCTTAACTGAGATTCGGAGCATTTTTCAGCTCAAAAATTGGGCTCAACGGTCTAAAGATCTCTCAAACTTTATGAAAACACCAATTTTACAAAGACCACTGATCCGAAGCTCGCAGAGCTTCAGAAACATGGAGGCTTTACAGCTGCGGAAAAGTTTGCTCAATCTTTACAACTGATAATATCCTTTGGCAAATCAGACATTTGGTAGACATGATAATCGCAAAACTTTTCCTCAGCTGTAGTGCCTCCACACTTCCAATGAATCTCTGCGAGCTTCGGACCAGTGCTCGTCTTTGTAAAATTAGTGTTTTCATCAAGTTTGAGAAATCTTTGGACCGCTGAGCCTGATTTTTGAGCTGAAAGGTGCTCCGAATCTCAGTTAAGGGGTGGCAGATTTTAAAGCATGCCATGTAATGCTTTTTCTATCACATCTACAAACTGCCACTGAAGTCCAGAGGTACAATCTTTCCATAGGAGCACGGATCAGTCGATTACTTCTCGGCAAACTAATGATTTCTTCAATTTTTGCGGCCATTTGGCGTTCAAGCAAATTTGCTGCGTAAGGTCTCCTTTTTCGGAGTTTGATGAATGCTGGTTGCACTGCATATCTCAAGGCTTAGGGGTGCATCTGTAGCCTAGATACTGGAAGGTGACAAGTTTTCCAAAGACGTTTAGCAGAAAGTGGCTGCAATTTTTGACCAACCTAGATTTTGGAGTTTTCGCCATTCTTTCCAGAGGCCATTTCTCTGTGCATGAAACTACAAAGTTTTCTAAAGTATGTTAAGCAGTGTGATTTGCACATAATATCGAAATTCGGATTCGTTTTGGGCGAAACAGAGTAAGATATAGCAAAATTCTAGAGTGGCTGCAAACTTTTGGCCAGCACTGTATAAGCGGAGTTTCTTACAATCCAAGATCATCAACATTTCGACCAAAATCCATCGGCGAGCTTCACAGCGCAAGACGAGGAAAAATCAAGTAACTCGAAGTTCTGTGGAAACTTGCTCATAGAGGTTATCCGTCATGTTGATTACGAATATCACAACTGCTTAGCCAAATACCTTCATATGTTAGGGTTATGGTGAGTGTTCAAAGCGACAGATTTCCCAGAATTCACAGTCCTTCTACTTCCTTTGAAGGAAAAACCTGCGGCTACTTTTTGCGCTGCATAATCTTCAGAAGTAGTACTATCGAAAGGTCTTTGCGTAGTCTATAAGGGGCAACGCGCTGCTTCACACCTTTGCGAAGAGAGATCCATAGAAAAATTCAAGAAACAGATTGGAATATCAAGGACGTGCTGTATATCGAAAGACTCGCCTTGATGAGCTGAGTACAATCTTTTTTTCTGATTCGGAATAGAGCAATTCCAAAGGAAGTTGTGGCGACTAGAATTTAGGAATTTCTGAAGCGTGATTTTTCTGGAATTCTCCAACGCTTTTATCTTTTTTGGAAAGAAGTCTGCGGGTACTACAGCGCACGATAACCTACAAGAACAGTTCTATCAAAAGGTACCTACTGGAACCTCTTATGTTTGATAAGCGCTGCGTTACATCTATGAGAAAGGACCTCCGCAGAAGAATTTGAGAAAACTGGAAACGGAATATCGAGAACATGCTGTATACGGAAAGATTCATCTTGACGAGCTGAACACAATGCTGCATTCGGATTCAGAATAATAATAGATTAATACCGAAGGGAGTTATAGCGCTGCATTGCGTGATTCGCGTTGATTTCGCTTCGCGGAATTCCGGAAATGTCGCGGACTTTCGCTGAATTCCCGGAATTCCGCGGAATTCCCGGAAATTTTGCACATTCTGAGAGTGGTATTGTATGAACCGATTTTGGTGTCATGTCTGCATTTTGTTTGTAAACGACTCTTCTATGTGTTTGAAGCAAAAAAGCCCGCCAGCACGCCGACGGCAAGCTGCCGGTCAGGTCAAAGAC